AGCCAAAAGATGGGAGTTTTGTGGAGTCTGTACTGAGAGTAGTTCTGCAATAAGAATGTTGAATAGGAATGGACTTAATATGCCACCCTCAGGAGTGCCATTCTCGAATTGCAGAAAGCCAGATGTGTGGCCCTGGAATCTTACACGAGCTTTCCTTTCCAGGAGGTAGTCGTAGCACCATTTAAGGATTTTTCCGGTTATGCCTCTTGAGGCAAGTGTGCTAATGATCGCTTCCCTGTTTGCAAGCTCAAAAGCCTTCTCAAGATCAAGGTATACAATTACCGAATCTTTTCCATCAGTGAGACTATGTATGGAGGCGAGATTATCTCCTGTGCCCAACCCTTTGCAGTAGGCATAGGAGTGTTATGAGGGCGGGGTATTAAAAACCTTAGTCTTCTTAGGATGGCCCTTTCCATGGTTTTGCTGAGGCAAGAGAGCAGGGATATTGGGCGGAAGGCTTTATCCTTTCCTGCCTTTGGAATGGGTTGGATATCGGCGTTTTTCCAGGCTTTTTGGCAGGATGGGAGTTTTGTGGAGTCTGTACTGAGAGTAGTTCTGCAATAAGAATGTTGAATAGGAATGGACTTAATATGCCACCCTCAGGAGTGCCATTCTCGAATTGCAGAAAGCCAGATGTGTGGCCCTGGAATCTTACACGAGCTTTCCTTTCCAGGAGGTAGTCGTAGCACCATTTAAGGATTTTTCCGGTTATGCCTCTTGAGGCAAGTGTGCTAATGATCGCTTCCCTGTTTGCAAGCTCAAAAGCCTTCTCAAGATCAAGGTATACAATTACCGAATCTTTTCCATCAGTGAGACTATGTATGGAGGCGAGATTATCTCCGGTGCCCAACCCTTTGCAGTAGGCATAGGAGTGTTTATGAGGGCGGGGTATTAAAAACCTTAGTCTTCTTAGGATGGCCCTTTCCATGGTTTTGCTGAGGCAAGAGAGCAGGGATATTGGGCGGAAGGCTTTATCCTTTCCTGCCTTTGGAATGGGTTGGATATCAGCGTTTTTCCAGGCTTTTGGCAGGCGGCCAGCTTCTAACGATTTGTTAAATATAAGAAGCATTATCTCCTTTGCTTGAGGCCCTAGATGATTAATCATGGAATAGGATATTTTGTCTATTCCTGGGGCTGTGTCCTTGCTAGTTTTGAATGCTGCATGCATTTCATACATGGTGAAGGGTTTATCAGTATCAGAAGGATTATTCATTGCTGCTGTAATGGCCTCTTGTCTTACATGCTGCAAGGAGACGAGTCTGGCAATGGTTGCTGGCTGGAGCATGTTAGTATCACCTCTTTCCTTAAATGTTCTTATTAGTTCATTCGCAATTCCTTGTGCATTCGGGTGGGAGGGTTGTTTCTTGTATTTACCTGAGGCAATGTTTAGTTTCAGCCACATCTCATGAAGAGAAGTGTGAGCGTTGATGGTTTCACACCATTGAAGCCAAGCTTTAGTCCTTATCTCTTGAATCTCAGATTTTACAAGTCTTATGGCAGCTCTATAGTTATCGAGTAGGGTGGGGGTAGGATTATTCTTGAGAGCTTTCCTGAGTATGAGTAGCCGATGTTTTAGTTCACTAATTCTCTCATTGTGGAACCACTTGTTTCTCCGTGTATACGGGATTGATGTGATTGTTGGCATTGACGCTGAGGCAGCTACATGAAAGGCTTTAACAATATCAGCTTCTAAGGAATCAAGGTCTTCCGGGGGAGAGTAAGTGTTAGCCCATTCTTCAATTGAGTTCGTGAATAATTGCCAGTTGGCTCTCTTTAAATTCCACCTGGGAATGGGAGGAGGTGGCTGTAGTCTAGGTATGTCAATTGTTGTAATAGTGGCGAAGTGGTCTGAGGCGAGGTAGGGATGTGTGACCCAAGAACTAGTAGGGAGGATAGTTGAGGTGAGGAAGGTAAGGTCAAGGACTCCTCCTCTTATATGGGTCTGCGTTTTGGAGTTAAGTAAGGATACATTAGAAAAGTTGTGTAGCAAGTGAGCAAGATGATGTCCAGTCCTACATGTCCTGTTCACGGAGTTGGAAGTTGGATCATTCCATCTAGGATGATGGGCATTGAAATCTCTGCATAACAATGAAGGAGCATTGCTTACGGCGGCAAATATATGGTCAAGTTTAAGCTTTGCGCTGTCTCTAGGAGGTCTATAGATATTAAAGATTTGAAGATGGATGTTCTGAAGTGCTAATGAGATACCTTGACAAAGATGGAGATGTCTCTGTTGATTCCAACAGTGTGGAAATTGTGAAAGGCTTTGTAGGAGGAGAGGGAGAGAGGAGATTTAAGGAGTGTTTCTTGCAAAACAACAATATCAATTCTTTGTTCGGCTATGGCCAGGTTTAACAAGGGGAGGTTTTTCTGGAGCCCGTTAACGTTCCATTGCAGTATGTTTATCTTTGTAGGTTTTGTATTATTATTCATTTTCTATATTTTCTATATTTATTTCTTTGTCTGAATCCGAGTCTTCATATTGTAGCGTGTCATAATTGTTACTTTCAGGTATGTGGAGGACCGGTGGGGATCCATCTGAGGTAAGTATAATGGTAGACTTTACATTTGTGAGGGAATATCCTTCTTTTAGGGCTAAGTTGGTAATATCTTCTTCACATTCAGCCGTAGAATTAGTCGTATTCTTGTCGTTCCCTGAGGTAGGTTTGCGAACTGTTCTACTCCTCGTTTTCCTTTCTGGAAGATTTTGTGTTTCTTTCCTGTTGTGGGGGATCTGATACGATTCCGTTTTACTTGAAACACTAGGGTTCGCTTCTGGTGTGCGTGCATGTGTGTGCAATGCCGGCTTATGGTACAAGCTAAACTTCTGCACAGGCCCTCACATTATGCATGATGATTCCAGATTGGGTCTGTTACTCATCTTTACGTCAGGTAATCCTATCAGGTAACCTGAGGTTAACGTAAAATCTAGCGCGTTGTCCGTCCGCCCGGCGTGTCACGTATATATTTGATCCCCAGCGGTGCTTGGGGATTAAATTATATACGTGACCTAATTCGAATTGCCGCGGTCAATTCTCCCCTTGCGAGGACGTCAAAGACTGGGAGGGGTTTTGTTGGGTCGTCGACCAGGTCTCCTCTCGGAGGGTTCTCTTCCTAGTCAGCCCTCCATGAAAAAGTCTAAAGGAGTATATAGCCCTTGCTCCACGATGCCTCGGTGTTAAAGTCTTCACCTGCAGTTGTAGAAGGGATTTCCGAGATTTCAGTCAGTTGATGGGAGGCCCTTGTTGTAGGAGGCACTTGTATACGCTGTAATTGTGTTGCGGCTTCTTTTCTGATGTGAGGAGAACAATAGTATTCATTGCCGAGGCTAGATAGAGCTAGGGCTTGTTCTATCGTGTCTCTTTTTATTCTAAAGCCTCCCTGTCCGAGCGGGATTCGTGGTTCCACACATGGGTGCAGGTCTTGCGATCAGAAGTCTTTCAGGAAGTTTGAAGGGGCAGCAAGGAAGAGATGCACAAATACACGCACGCACACACACACACGCACACACATACAGACACACACACGCACGCACATACACATGTGTGTGTATGTGCGTGTGCGTATACATATAGATATATATAATTGTGTGTATGTATATGTATATATATATATATATATATATATATATATATATATATATATATATATATATATATATATATTTATATATATATATATATACATATGTGCGTATATATATATATATATACATATATATATATATATATATATATATATATATATATATATATATATATATATATATATATACGTGTGTGTTTGCATGTGTCTATATATATCTATATATCTATATATATATATCTATATATATATCTATCTATCTATATATATATATATATATATATATATATATATATATATATACATACATATATATATATACATGTATATATATATATATATATATATATATATATATCTATATATATATCTATCTATCTATATATATATATATATATATATATATATATATATATATATACATACATATATATATATACATGTATATATATATATATATATATATATATATATATATATGTGTGGTGTGCATGTGTGCGTCCATGTGTGCATCTCTTCCTTGCTACCCCTTCAAACTTCTTGAAAGATTTCTGATCATAAGACCTGCACTTATACTGGAACCACATACATATATATATATATATATATATATATATATATATATATATATATATATATATATATATATATATATAGATATATAGATATATATTTATATATATATATATATATATATATATATATATATATATACATATATTATATATATGTATATATATAGATGTAGATATATCTTCTTCTTCTTCTTTGTCTTAGCTTTTCCTTACTCGGGGTCACCATTTCTGATGAGCCTTCTCCATAGAGCTCTGCTCTATGGAGAAGTCTTGATTCCTGAACATTCTTTGACATTTTTGTTATCTTAAGTGATCCTCTTCTGTAGTTATTCCGTATGTAGTCCATCTTTGTTACCTCCACCATCCCTCTGAGCATTTTCATTTCAGCAACATCCAATTTTCTTTCTTCAGCTTTTCTCAGCGGTGCAGTTTGTAAACCATAGGTCATAGCTGGTCTGACCATAGACTTATACACCTTTCCCTTCAACGCTTCCTGTCTTATTCGGCCATCTATTATTCTTTCTAATAGTTTCAAAGTATGTGACATTAGTTTTATGCCTCTATAATATTCACAATTTTGAATATCTCCTTTCTCTTTGAAAATCGGTATTAATATACTTTCATTCCATACTGTTCCTATCTCTTGATGTCTCCTTGTTTTGTTCTAATTATATTTCTATTCTCATCTTTCATTTGCTTAATGTGTACGAAATCTTTTGTGCTTTTATCCCTTGTCTTCGCCAGTTGGAAAACCTTTCCCTGTCCTTCCTTGCTGTCTAGATCTTCATACAACTGATCGTAAGCCCTGTTCTTAGCTATTGCCACTGCTCTCTTTGCCTCTTAATTTTTAGTCTTATATTCTTCTTTATCTCTCTCGGCTGGGGAGATTTCCCATTTCTTCTTAGCCTCTTTCTTCTCCGTTATTGCCCGTTGTACTTCATCAGTGAACCACCAGGTTTCTTTATCTTTCCAGATCTTTCCACTAGTTTCTCCTAGAATCTCTTTTCCTGCATGTATCACAAATTCCGCTGTTTCATTCCATCAGGAGTTTAGATCTTCAATTTCTTGGCTAATTTGCCCGAGTACTCTCTCTTTGAACTCTTCTTTCTTCTCCTGATCCTTCAATCTATGCTATTTGATCTTCTTAGGTCCAGGTTTCGGTGTGCTATGCACTCGGGATACCTTGCTGTTCAAATCCATCACGACCAGTCGCTGTTGGTTGGTCACGTGATCACCTGGAACTACCTTACAGTTTATTATCTCAACCATATTTCTCCTACGATACAGAGGTAGTCTATTTGGCTAGCTCTTCCGCCATACTTGTACGTGATAAGATGTTCTTGTCGTTTCGTAAAAATAGTGTTAATGATAACCATATCGTTAGAGATGGCAAAATCGTTCTCCATCCTCATTTCCCTCACCATAACACATCCCTCCGTGCACTCGACTGATAACATCGGATCCTCTCCCAACATGTTCATTTAAGTCTACACCGATAACACATCTTTCGTCTTCAGCAACCTTCTCAAATTCATCCTGTAGTGTTGTCCAAAACTCATCATTTTCATCATCGATGTAACCTGTCTGAGGGGCGTACACACTAAGTACTTTGATCTCAAACTCCTCAAGAGCCAGCTTTATCCATAAAATACTATCATTTTTTTATTCACTTCCACAACTGCACTCTTAAATTTTCCCGACACTATTATTCCAACACCATATCTTTTGTCCAAATTTGCACTTCCATAGATTAACTTGTGTCCGTCTCCCAACTCTTTCAACTTATTGCCACTCCATCTAGTTTCCTGCACACACATAATGTCCACTTTCCTTCTCCGCATCAGCTCCGTCAATGCTCTTCCTCTACCAGTCATAGTTCCTACATTCATCGTCCCATTCCCAGTAGCGTAGCGAGGGGGGGCAAGGGGGGGCAGCCGCCCCCCCAATGCTCAGAAAGTTGGTCTCTGAGAAAAGTGCAAATCTGCAATAAAATTTGTAGGGGGGTACGACAAAAAAACAAGGCTTCATTTGCCAAAAAATGATAACATATAATGAAACAACAGAAAAAGAAAACAGTATGTTTTTTGAAAATCTTTTCTCATGTTTCCGTCAGTCTACCATTGAAAGTTAAAGGCTCTGCGGCGTTTTATGATAGACAATTTGACGTAAAGGCGGTTTACACGATCGTTTTTTCCTAACTTTTGTTTTGATATTGGACCACCATGATGGACAACGATCGTGTAAAAGGCTAAATTGTTGAAAAAGGTTTGATGTTATCTGACGTTTTTAATCCGCCTGGGAGTCAAAATAAAATCTTCAACGATGGATCATTATCGCCAATTTCTTTTGTATAGTCAAACCAATTGGAGATTTGAATGGCAATCGAGATCCGGTGGGACAGGGCACCTTTTAACAAAATAGAGCAATTTCTCAAACAGTTCGGAAATTAACAGCTTTTACTTCTAGCTAGTTAATGGAACATATTGTTCTCTCACCCTGCAAAAGCACTGCTTCACTTAAATGAGCCCGAGTCTCAACGAGGAAACATCGTATTGTTTGCTTCCCTCAGTGCCCAATGAATCATTGCTAGACAATGTCAGATGCAGATATAGCTATACCAATGGACCTCTCGAGGTATACGTTTGATCCATGCTGCCCACTCCCGAGTGATCGAGCTTCGAGAAACCATGTCATAGAGAAAGGACCAATAAGGCCAACACAATGTGCATTTCCGGTTAACAAACAGGGAAGAAAATTTTTGACATGGTATAGCAACTATTCTTGGCTTGAGTACTCTAGATCATCTGATAAAGCATTTTGCTTCTACTGCCGTATTTTTAACAAACAGGTGAGCAAATTCTTAGTGTCTTTTTAGTTTTTAGCATATTATGACATCCGAGCTGTGCCTTTTCTATTCAAACATATTGCTGCCAGGAAATGAACTTCTTTTTTCATTTTGATCATTCTTTCAGATATCGCAAAAAGGGGACCCCGCATTTATCAATAGTGGGTTCAGCAACTGGAAAAAGACTGAACGATTCTCAAAGCATGAACAATCTGAATGCCATCGGTACTCCGTCGAATCATTTAAAGCATGGGAAAAACAGAAGCCAATCGTCAGGAAAGGGTATGTTGAAACGTCTACGATAATTGCGCTTTCTGCAACTCCCTCTCTCCAAGGTTTTTCAAATTTCACTTTGTCACCTTTATGCACAGATGAAACTCCTTAATTTAACATTTTATTTATTTCAACAGAAAATTCAAAATATTTGAGCCCCGAAATCCAGAATCAGTACATTGCAATGATAGGATCAGCCATCAGAAAGGAAACAATCAAACGTGTCAAAGAAGCTGGTGCGTATTAAATAATCGCAGATGAAACTCCTGATAATAGCAAAAAAGAACAGTTGGCATTGGTATTGAGATACGTGTATCAAGGTGTCGTAGAGGAACGTTTGCTTGCTGTGAAGACAGTCGATGAAACTGATGCAAAAACGTTGCTGAAAACAATCATGGACGAGCTCAACGAGTGCGAGATCCCAATAGCAATGCTTCGTGGTCAGTGCTATGATGTGTCTGGCATCCATGCTGGTTTGCAGGCGCGTATGCGAGATTTTTCAAAAACAGCACTGTACACCCATTGATATGCTCATGTCCTTAATCTGGTCATCGTGGATTCGATGACCAATAACAGGTTTGCAAAGGACTTTTTTGGAACATTGCAGAACTTGTATGTTTTCACTGAAGGCTGCACCAAACGCCATGAAATGTTCGTCAAAAACCAGAACAAAATTATCGCCTCAAAAGTATTTGATTTGGAATTGGAGTCGAATAACGCAGAAGCTTCCAAAATAAAAAAAAAAACAACCTACGTTCTGAAAAAATTGTCAGATACAAGATGGGCATGCAGAGCAGATAGCATCAAAGCAATTTATCACACCATCGAGTCTGTCATTGCGACGTTGAAGGAAATAATCGAGAAGGAAAAGAAGCCAAACTTTTATGCAGAGGCAAAAGGACTTCTCAGAAACATTGACTTTGAATTCATTTTTGAATTCAATTTTCTGCTGAAACTGATATTATCGTATGTCTTGAGTGCACTGGCAAAACGAGCAAAGATTATTTTCCAAATATCATTATTATGAAACTTTAGTGGCAAATTGACGAATCAAACATTTAAGAGTTTTTTCTAAACCATCGTTTGGAAATTTAGGAAGCTTTGAAAATGCTTTGATTTTTTTAAGAACCTATAAAGATTGTATTCTGTCCTTCCTTCTTTCAGGTTCTCAAAGCTATCTTGTTTGTCAGCAAAGGTGTGTCGGACAAACTTCAGACAGAGGATCTTGACGTTGTTACAGGATGTGAGAGAGTTGCAGATTTTAATTCAGCAATCACCGAACTTCGCAACGACGCAAAGTTTGAATTATTTTGGCAGGAAGCAACAAGAAAATGCAAACGCCTTGACATTGACGGGCCTAAAGAAGAGCGCATCCGTAAATTGCCCAGGAGATATGAAGAAAATCCAAGTACGGCTGTCCATCTAGATCCTAAGGCCAACCTCAGGGTTAAGTACTTTTATAACGTAAGTTCGCTGTTTTGAAATCAAATTCCCTATCCTTAAAAAAGGATTTTCAGGATATCAGGATGATATATTTTTACGATTATGGGGCAGTTTATCAATGCACAGTTGTTTATCAGTACACGCGTTTTACAGGGATATTTATCTATTTTCTATTTACAGATCCTTGATTTGATGACAGCGTCAATTTCAACACGATTTGACAGTCATAGTGCACCCATCTTACAGGGTCTTTTCTACTTGGGACCAGAAAGATTAGATTCACCGGAGGCATTGAAAAAGATCCAGGTTGCCGTAGATTGGTACAAAGATGACCTGGATACTGATTCGTTAGAAGGTCAACTTGCAAGTCTCCAGAAGTCACAGATTTTGAAAAGAGTTATAAGCACGGTGAGAGCGAGGAAAGAAAAGAAAACTGCAACCTTTGTCGAACTCTACGACGAAATAAAAGATGATCTTTCCTGTTTTGGAGAAGTGAAGAAACTGATGGAAATTGCGCTATCGTTACCTTTGACATCCTGCAGTGCCGAAAGGGCATTTTCAAAGCTAAAAATAATAAAAAAAATCGACTGAGATCCACCATGGGGCAAGAGAGACTCCAAAAGCCTTATGCTGATGTCCGTAGAATCAGATTTTCTTAAAAATTTAGATATAGAAATGCTTATGAAAGATTTTGCAGATTTTGCTCCTAGGAGAATGGACTTAGTTTAAGACTTTATATAATATATATATAATTGATATATATAAACGTTTACTCGCTTCTTTGGAAAACAGTTTTTCAACATAGAAATTTCTCGCTTGATAAGATTCAGAAAATAAAACTTGAGAGGAATTGTAATGCAATTTTTTTTTTTTTTTTTTTTTGACGTTTGATTAACCAAACTTTGACATGTACAAATGACATAGCTCATTATAAGCCATCTAAAAAGAGCCGTTTTCCAGCATTCTAAGGGGCGTGGTCTTAAATTTTCCCGGGGGAAGATTCCCGGACCCCCTGCTATTTTTCTTACCTGTTTGCCCCCCCAATCTTCCCGCTCTGGCTACGCCACTGCCCATTCCTTAGTTTCTGAGCTCGCCTCTTTGGCCGCACCCGCTCTTGATGCGGTAGCCCTCGCCTTTCCACAGATTTAGGGCGATGTTTCTGTGGGCCACTTCCGGGTGGCATCCTAGCATTGGGGTCATACTTCGAAAGACTCATTTTCATAAAGGTTTTGACAGCGGTTTTTACGGGTGGATGCCCTTCCTAACCCCTTCTCTCCAT